AATAACTAAATTGCTTTTCTATGTGATTGTTTGATTACAGCGATAATAATGTTTTAATCTTTAAAATGATAAATATTTTCACAATCAAATAAGTTATTTTACTCATTTTGTCAACTTTTGTATATTTATATTTATTTTCGAAGATGCTTACCAAGGTCAGTGTTATATCAAATTACTTATATGTTTTGATTCTGTGATTAAAATAGCACTTTATAAATTATAATTTAATAATTAGTAGATTATTTAGTCATATTATAAAATTTAATATAATTAGTTTATTCCTAGAATTTTTACATTAATATATTTGCCAAAAAAATTCATTTTACTTAATTATGCTTAATTATTACCTTTTAAGTTATATTTAAACTATGATTATAAATAACTTTTTAAATCTTCTCAATCCAATGAAGATTTAAAATATTTTTAAATAACAAAACAATACAATAAATTCATATTAATAGAATAAATTTTAATTAATTAACTAATTAATAGCTTAAAATTCACTAGAAATAAATTTATTAATAGAATATTCTTGATATTTATCATATGATGACAATAAATTGTTAGCCATAAAATACAATTAAGCGTTGACTACATAATATGTAAGCATTTGAGGCGTTTTCCAAACATTAATTGAATAACTAATTTGTTAGGCGTTTGTAAGCCATAAGTGATGTTACATTTAAACCAATTTTAACCCACTTTTGGTGCTGTAACTCATGTTTAGACAACATTTTTACGGTAATTTATAATTGCTTTCTCTCTGTTTTCATACAATAGATTTCAACACTAATTGTGTTCACAATAACCATATCTTTCACCACATTTGCCGCCAAAGAAGACGAGACACAAAATAGACCACAAAATAATGCATTCAATGCTTTCGTTGGCACTGATTCGCCACAGACTTACCATTTTGGATATGACTCCAAGGTATTCATTAATTATTATTATTATTCATATGAGAACCTGATAACCAAATTACATACTAATTTAAATATTTGCTCAATAATACCTCAAATAGCGTAAACATTATTATATCCATATAAAAGTGATACTATAAAAATTTCTTACTTTAATTATAAATATTTATAAACAATTAATTAAGTATAAAATGGTTATTAATGAGCAAATGCAGAAGTCTTTCAAAATTTAAATTATTTTAAAGAAAGTACTTAAAAATATTATATGAATAAATTCTTACTTATATGCAATATTAAAGGGGATTGATTATTTTTGATGTACAATTAGCATATACCGTAATTCACATTAAAATGAAAATATTACCGTATTTAATTTTAAAACTTTCAAAACATATTTTTAATATTTTGAATATAAGGCTCTGTTACTAGTAAATTACATAATTTTTAAATACAGTATTACATGCATGATTGAAATAATAATAACAAAATTGTCAGACAATTACTCTATTCTGGGATAATTGTATCCTTTTGTGCAAACCTTTGGCGTAATTCTTGAATTTCGTTTAATTCTTCGGTCGGAATAATAAACTTCATATCAAATGAATGCAATGAATTAAACAAAGGGTACACTATGTTAGCT